TCTCTCTCTCTCTCTCTCTCTCTCTCTCTCTCTCTCTCTCTCTCTCTCTCTCTCTCCATTACAAACCACCACCAGAAAAGATAGGTTCATCTAAATCAGAGACACCCTCGTAAAGTTGACCACCCATCTTCTACTACCTTTCATCTTCATCACCTTCATCGACATATTTTTAAAATCCAAAATCAAACCTAAGAAATCGAGTTTGAGCCCTCATACCTTCAACAAAGTGATTGAAGTATCATCGGTCCTCTATAGCCCTGTCGAAGAACGATGCATAGATCCACCATCAGCCATGGTCACCCCTGTATTCTCCCTCCTCCTTCACCTTCTACCTCCTCCTTTCAAATGTCACTTCTACATTCTCCATCCTCTGTATTTTGTGTTAGGTTAAAACCCAAATCATATATAACACAACCCAAAGTTATGAAGATTGAAAGGATGTCAATCTCCCACTCTCAGTCTGGTATTCGAGAAGGAGCACTACCTAACTTGCCCTTAGCATGCTTTTGCCCAAGAGTGGGTGCTGACACCCTTTTGCCTTATCCGCTCTTGGTGGTTTAGTTAGGGCAGTAGAAATCGTTTCAAGCCCTAATCGGTGGAGAGAGTACCGGTGAGATTGTGCATCTGCTGCAAACATGGGGGTTTTCTTGAAAACGTCATGAATATAAAACTGGATCTTGAAAGGATGTACATGATGCATACGTTTAGGTTAGATTTTCTACATATTTCTTTCTCTTTGATTTTCTGCAAATTTCTGGGTTTGTAAACTCATAACCAAATCTTAGATTGTGTGGTATTTGTGTGTGTGTGTGTTTATCTTGACGTTATAGAAATCTTCAGTCAGATTGATAGGTTTCATATGCAATTACAAGTTCCCATTCTCGATGGATCAGCGAGGGAATGGGTGGAAGCTATCGAGCAAGTTGGGATTGCAGTTGCTATGGATTCCAATGACAGAAATTGTGAGAAACTAGCACCATATCTTACTTAACCTGTTCATGTGTCAAAAGGAGATTTTGTTATATCAGTATTCCCTTTTAAGCAAATTAGTATCAGTTACAAAATCAATTTTCCATCGGTAAACCAAAATCCCTTTATTTCCCTTTTATAAATCAATGTTTCCGATGCCGCCTTTCGACGGACAGGTTCTGTGAGATATCAAGCTCAACCAGCTTCGACGGAGGTAAGGAAGATGAAGACGAATAATGAGAGGGAGATGTGGTGGCGACGGCGATGCCATTTTTCCGGTGGTGGTTTATAATAGAGAGAGAGAGAGAGTGTGTGTGTGTGTGTGTGTGTATGAGAGAGGGAGAGAGAGAGATTTAATTTATTTTTTTTTATTTTTTTTTAAATCTGAAAATCAAAAAAACAATTAAGAAAAAAGAGAAAATCATATTAACAGGGGCAAATCCGTCATTTTGAAAATAACCAGAATTGATTGAACCAAACAAACAACAAAATGAAAATTTTGGACCTCTGGTGCTAGTCCAAACTTTTTTGGACCAAAGTGACAATTTTGAGCAAACCACATGGAACATTTGTGCAGTTTAGTCTTTATATTACTTGCTCAAATAATAGATTTATCTTAATACTTTACTATTTTTCTTGTCTTATTATATTGTTTTTCTTCTTATTCATACTTCACTATTGTTTTGAATTAACCAAATAGCTTAATTTGACCAAATGGTTTCTACCTTAGCGTTGGAGTGGTGACTATGGCAAAAGACACTTTTGCTATGCCACTTTCTCCTTGGTAGATTTGACAATGAAACGGGTTTAGAGTTAATCGACCTTCATCTAAACCTTTTTTTTCTTAAATTTCAAAATCTGATCCAAACCTGCTCTGTAACCAGCAATGTTTTGAATAAACAAACTCGTATCTTTATCCACCGAATCAATATATATCCAAATCTGTCCCATAACCCGTATATTTTTTGAATTACCAAACACATTTTACTTAATTCTTAAAATGACATTTCTCAAATAAAAAAATGTCCACTATAACTTAATACTTAAATTAACATTTCTTAAATAAAACAAATGTCGATTTAGAAAACGTATTACATACTCTAGGACTTTAGATTAGAATTAAAAATCATTATTGCAACAACTTCTGATTTATTTTTTATTGTCGATTGCAGTGATAGAGAATAGCGGTTGCAAACTTTATTCCAATTAATTAATAGATGATTTGATTGATTTATAAATGTGATTGGAGATTGCTTGATGAAATATAAATGAAATGAAATCTTGTTTCTTAGCAGAAAACTGAAAGTCTGGATGTCGACTCCTCAGGCCCTAGGTAAACACGGTTTGACCTTTTTCTTTTGGCTTTCGACTAGAATTAAAAATAAACTATAAACCGTATAAAATATAATTCCTTGCAAAATATCATATCCGTATGAATGAAATTCGATTTATTGTTAAAACATCTATAACAAATTAAAATGCATACTATTTGTATAACTTCAAAAGTTTCTATTAGACCCACAACGAACATTCCTTTAATTTTCACTTTAATATGAATATCACATATAATGTATTCCATGAATGAGTTGCATGCATTATGCATACACGTGTTTCATTTCGATGCTAGGTAGATTCATCCCTTTTCGAGCATCTTTGCATTTTCATTAGGTCGATGTGT